ATAATGCATTTTAATTTTTTTCTTGTTAACCTAAATTTTTTGTATTCCACATGTTAATAACTACAAGAAAAACACAATTTGTATCAAATACATCCAAAGTTAGACATATGGCACTGAAGTTTATCGATATTTTATGAAACAAATTGCATTTTAGAAAAAGTCGATGACCTTTTGACTTCTAGTGACGTTAATAATTGTCGGATTAATTTTATTTAAGCTACATATGATTAAAAAACATATATGCTACACATTGCTACCAAAATAACATTGATGGGATTATTAATTCACAATTTAAATCACAATTTTTTGTTCTATATGCCCGTAGGAACAAAATGATACCAAGGAAGTTTAACTTGGGGGGGGGGGGTGCACGGTGATCCCCCTCGAGCCCATGGCCTAATAGGCCTATTATATATTCTCTGGACAAATTCAACAATAAAAGTAATTCTTCCGACAAACTAATTTTGCCTACCTTGGAAGTGTTGGTCAAGACATTTAATTAGTTAATGTGACATGGATGATTGTGAATGGTATCGGTGGTATATTAAATATCAATCTAATCCATCCCTGGTTGATATAATTCAACCCAAAGTTTGCCTACCTAAACAGAAACGTATCGAAAAAATGTAATCCAGAACTCAATAACTTAAATTTCTTTTGCAAGGCTTCGTTGCATACATTGATAATTATTTCAGTGAATTTGGTAATGTATTAAATCATTAAAGCAGGCCTAAGCTTTAAAACTGATAAGCACGTTAAAGTATCTATTCCTCGCGCAAGTGGGCCTGTATAATCAAATATAAACATTATCATCAGTTGAAGCATTTCAAACCATTACTGCTTCTATGATGAACTTGTCAAAAATAATAACACAATTTCGTACTGCATTAGGCTTATTTTGATTAAAATTAGGCCCAATACGGACACTAGGCCTATTACATTTACTCTATATTTAACATACTAAAAAATAGCGATTTTCAATTATGTAATATAATTGTTGGTAGTAATAATACTGGTCAATGTAAGTTTTTTTTTTGTTTTTTTTTTCTTATATAATGAAACAGATTGATAATTTGTAGTTACTGTTGACTGTATCCTGGTGTGTGTGTATACATATTCTCTGTTTCTCTAAAACGTTTAACGCTTCTTTTCCAAATTGTATATCTCCTAGACAGGAATTGCTAGTATTGACTAAACACATATTGTTTTGAAAATTTTTTACCCTAAAGCATACCGTATCTTGACCCTAAAACCTTCTTTTTTCTCATATTTTTTATCTTATACTTGTCTGTTTGTTGTGTATAATTATGTGCGCAAGTACGGGGACGTCAAATGTACACACTGCAAAAAGCTTTGATCGATTATCTGATATTTTATTTAATCCTTACTCTACACGCAGCACTCCGGAAGTACCGTATGCTTAAAAATTTAGCAAACGGCCAGGAACAGATGTTGTGAGTTGTCATCACAAAGTGTGTCTTTGTATAGCAAAATGTCAAATCAGTCTTCAAAAAGTCTATACCATTATCATGGTTGAGGCCTACAATTAATTATACACCGAATGTAATTTCCCATGTTTCGCTTCATTTTGTGACAAAGACAACTATGTTGTGAACAGAATAATGATGTATCAATTACGTTATATTATTTTAAGAACTAGGATTCAGATCAGCTGTTTCGGTTTGTTTGAATTCGTTGATTTCGATTTTAGCGAATTTTGAAGCCACAGTGTTGGTAATTTTAAGGTGTCACTATATATATTCATACAAGTAGGCCTATAGTTCAAGTATCACTGAAAGATGCAATTACAAGACCTTTTCACATGGTCTCATCTAAAACAAAACTTTTTGGCGGCTTAAACGTTCAACATGAAACACAAGGAGAATGTGGATGAAATTAAACGTGAACCAAGGTTGTGTGAACATATACTATTCAGGGTACACACAGGTGGGGGAGGTAGGCACTCCTAATGGAGCGACGTTCTAGTTCTCTTTATGCTAACCACAAAGATGTATAGTAAGTGTAACTGATTGGCTTACAGTAAACCTTCAAACTAGCGTAATATAACCACATTTAAACTCTAATTTAACGAAAACAATAAGATACTTAATTAGGCTATTTTTAAAATTAAAGTTGTCTGAAGGTTAACTACAGAATTTACAGTACAATGTAGTTAATGTCTTATAGGTTGTAAAAACTGTATTGAGCCAAAAAAAAAAAAAATTCGAATAAAAAACTCTTTCGCTTGACATTAGCAATTAATCATTTGTGAAACAAAATTATAGGCTACATCAAGTGTTATATTGAACAGTGGTATATTCAAGGGGAAACCAAGTCAGCACGGGAACCCATCCTTATTTTTTTTCAAAATTATTTTTAAAAAAGGGAGAAAACAGACAAAATTGTATTCAACTTTTAATCTGAGAGTGCCATTTCCGGCCATCTAGAGGTGCCATAATCATAATTTTTCTTACCTCAACCCCAACAATTGTGGGGCTGAGGCGGGTGGATATTTTATTTACGCAAGACTCTCCCTGAACCCCCCTATATTGACTTCCTGGACCCCCACAGTTGGAGTATCATTTCCGAGCTACATAGAAGGGTAATTTTTATCCATCGGGGGAAAAGGAGCTAGCTAAATTTTTCAATTTTTTTAATGGAGATTATAAGGAAAATTATATTCAAATTTTAAGTCTAAGAGTGTAATTTCCAGCCATCTAGAGGTGCCATAATCACAAATTTTCTTGCCTCA